TATAGGTCTTAAAGGCTTTTTGTGTGAGGATTGTGTTATGACAGATGAATTATTACATAAACGGGCTGAAACAATTGAAAACAACCCACAACTTTCTCATTAGAAGAACTAAAAAATAAGTTAAATTGATTATTGCTTTGTATCTAATCAAGTGAAACTTCAGAGAACCACAACCCAAAATCTTCTAACATAAAATAATCCAGGCTTCATGTTGGAGCTGTCAGATGGAATAGTTCAGGTTGCTTTGACAACATGTGTGCGGTCATCTCCACCTTCCCCCAAAGACAGGGAAGGACCCATCGACTTGACCTCTGGATCATGTGAGGATTGGAGATTTCTCTTAAACATGCCCCTCTGAGCTCTTCACAAACTGCCTCTAAGAAAGGAACAAGGTCAAATGATGGTTCGAAATTCTGAGCAATTAAAGTTTTTTTCTCGGTTTGGTTAGCCGTACCGCAGCTGCACCTAATCCCCACAGGAAAGCCCTTCATCTGGGACTGATTTTCTAGTGCCTGGGCCCTGGGTGAGAGAAAGGGGGGACTGTTCTGTTAAAAGTGGCCTGGCCTTTTCTGGGATGCAGGCCTCCGTGCCCAATCCATCTGATTAAAGGGAGTTGGGCTCAATTACACCCCAATGTGCAGTCCTTGCTCTCCGTCCCGACCTTGGTTAAAACACACTCACACACACACACACACACACACACAGACACACACACACACACACACACATATAGAGGAATACTGTCCAGAATCAACAGTGAGGGTGTGGAACCAATGTGCTCTCCACCTGAGGCACTCCCATCCGTCCACATGCTAACGCTATGGCTGAAGGTCTGTCAGCAGAGTTGGCCTCCGAGGGATAGCACTTTGTGTAACCCGTGACTAGGTTGGAAAAACAGTAAAACTAAGTCTCCGGGGAAAGGGCTCATGTCTGTTCCAATCGCGTAAGAGTTGATAGCGCTGGGCACCGGGTCACAGCCATCCTTTCTAATCAGCCTCATGCCAGAGAAAGCACTCCGATTGCCACAAAGAAACGTGTGCACATGGTTATGCATGTCCACCCCTGCGCTTTGAGGAAACTAGCGGGAGATTAGAAGTGACTCGAGACAATTAAAGAAGCCAAAAATGCTCTCAGGGATTACATGATGCCGAAAACAGAACACTGTCTTCGTCACTTTCCTGGTTATCGCAGTCCTGTTGAGATGATGGACAGAGATGTTGAAAATAAATACACACCCACAAGCAATACTACTGCAGACACATTTTTTTATGTGCAAGATTTTTGTTAAAGAAAACCAACACAATGCAGACCACAAACAAAATACGGAGCATCCAAATGACATATGTAGGTAAACATAAGGCTAAGCTGTCATTAGTAGTTTTACAATATTAATTTGGATTATATTTTCATGTTTTGAGACCCATTTTCCCAATATTTGTTGCACTTGTCTCCGGAATATTGTAAATCTCCTTAGTTATTTGGGCACTTAACTGTTTTGACCCACAATTAATACAGTTTCTAAAAGGTTTTGAACAACAGTCTTCATTAAGAATATTTTATAAATGTGTAAGATCCCTAGTGACTCACAATATGACTTTTTGAGCTGAGAACTGATTGGCTGAGTGAGGGTGGACCTCTCTTTTTCACTTTTCAGTCCGAAAAAGCTGAAGCCAAAAACACATAAGAAAATAAGTTATAGAAACAAACTGTTTTGAGAGTGAGGAACTTCATCATAAAGGTTTTAAAGTTAAGTACCTCTGCTTTAAACAAATCTAAGACTTTATTGTTTGACTACATCATAAATCACTATTGTTATGTTTTTTCACGTTAACAGGTTTGAAGGTCTCTAAATCACTATAAAACATTGGCCACTTTAGTGTCTGAGTGTCCAAAAAAGCGCTATATATATATAAAACCGATGCATTATCATTATTATTATTACCTCTACTGCAGTTGACCTGGGGCAGTCTGACAAAACATAGCAGCTACATAGTTTTCTTTCAACTGTAAACCAGAGCTATATGTTCCCTGACATCCCTGAAACCACTTTTGGCGCAACACATATCATGACACGGGCATTTACAAGCCAAGCCGGTTGCAATTGTGTCAGCTTGTAAAGTTTAACACTTGCCACTGACTTAAGCCCAATTAAAATCATTATGACAATCCCAGTTTATAGCTGGAGGAAGATAAAGAGGATCAACACTGTACTCTAATATCCTCGTGTGTGCAAAAATCAATAGTATAAGCACCTCCACTTAGTTAAAAGCACCCCTCCCATCAAAGAACACTTCTGGCTTCTCAATTTCATATGCAACTAAAAATAAATAAACATCTGTCCTTTATTATTCTTTTCTAAATATTCCACCCACAACTCAGTTTTACTACCTCATGCTGCGGGCCTTTTTATGTAGTGCGACACTCCTACAAAAGCAAACCCAGTGATCGTGGACCAGCGCAGGCTAAACTGTAAGCCAGCAGCTTCGATGACAAACTAAACGTGTAATGCCCTTTCCTGAAAGTAGAAAAAGAATGAGCCTTTTTGGGGGTCCATAAAAAGTTGTTACTGTAAATTTTGGTGGTTTGAAAGTTATGTACACAGACTTTAAGGGTTGTATGGAGTGAAAGAATAATGACAACTGAAGCGTTTTTGAGTGTCCAGAAATATAAAACCAATGCATTATTATTTTGAGTTTTGATGTGAAACGCATATTTGACCCAATAGCTCTAACTTAGTAAGTAAGTAAAGAAAAGTAATCTTTATCTACGTATATAGCACATTTCACAGACCAAGGTCACACAAAGCACTTTACAATGTTTTGGAGTACCAGCTGTAAGAGACTAGAGGCCATCGCAGTGGTCTCAAAGATGCCATATACCCCTGCACCAGAAAACTGTATAGGCACAACAATGATTAAAAGTTAAGGCCCATTCTTACAGCCGCTGGGTCACTACAAGGTAAAAAATAAAAAACAAAAAGAATTTTGTTTTTTTTAATAAAATAAAAAGTTGCATTAGACCTTTAAATATTCAGAAAGTTAATGCACAAATGATTAGATAAAGGCTAATGTAGAAGAGAAAAAGACACATTAAAGACAATGTGCTATTGCTTGCTCATGGTATAAAAAATCCTTTTGAAAAATTCCCAAGTGCTATTTAAGCATATCTTTTCTCTATACACTTTGTCACAGTCAAGCTGCATGCTCTCAAACTGAAAAACAATTAGCTATAGCAATAAGTAACCGTAAACAAAGCATTATAGGCTGCATTGAGACTGCTTGAGAACAACACAATCCAGGAAATATGCTGGGTAATGGCTGTGACTTAAAGCTGCAGTGAAAGAAAAGTTTTGTCTCAAGTTCCTTCTAAACTTGGATTTGAAAAGACAATTCACACATACTGTTGTGATTTCCAAAGAGCAAACTATTTTATTATATCAGCAATGACGGCATTTGTAATATAAACAAATGTCTGGCCAAAACTAACAGACTACATGTTAATTGGGAATGGTGGTGATTATTGTCACATGTTTGTGTCTGGCGACTGATGTGACCGTCTTCTCTATTGAGAATTAGACAGGGAAATCTCAAGCCTTTCATTTGTGGAGACATGAGAATTACGCGGTGAGAAAATTCCCTGTGCACCTAAATATCTGCTAGCCTTGTCTCGAATGTATCTGGTTTTGGTGACTACATGATGAATTAAGAAAGGTTCTACCCAGCGTTCCCAAAGAGACTGGATTTTCACACCTCAATCCGTGTGCCTAGCTTTAAATGCTCAATCAATTTAAATTGGTCAGGAAAAAAAGATTTTTTGTGTGCAATATAAACTTTTCTCTTCACTTACATTGTCAAAACAAAATTCAACCCACTCCACAAACAGATCATTCTTTTTTATCTTAAACATCTGGAAAAGATGTGTCCTTGACAAGACACATGTGACGTACTGATAGAACTAGTGATGGAGGTGCTCTAATATATCAAGAATGATCATGTTCCCAGGTTATTAAGATAAGATAAGAAAAGATATTGTTTTATTCATCCCACAGTGGGGAAATTTCATTGTCATCAAGTGTGTGGTCGCCATGATTAAGTGTGTGGACGACATGATAGACAACATAATACAGGATAGAAGGTGAATAACATTATACTGTAGTTAGATAAATAGACCACATCGCCGGAATTTGGATTATAACATTCTTTCACCTTTCTAGGACATTTGGTTGCACCAATCACAAAACGAACAACCACCTAAAAGAAAATGTCTGCAAAAAAACAACAATCAAAGCACTCCATGTGATATTTGTCCAAGCCATTTCAGAGAAATGTTGGCCCACATAAGACGTGGGGAATTTTTCAAGGCATGCTGAATAAAAGCACAAAGGAATGTCGTTTCAAATATCTCACATTTGCATGAAAAATGTGCTGGCAACGCAGAAAAATGGATTCCAATGACAATCAGACAGAAAACTATCTGCGGAGCATAATATCTGTCTTTAAAAATACTCAACGTCTATGGGAAACAGTATTTCTGTTTAAAATGTTTTCCATCCCTCGTTAAGGAGAAAAACACTTCACCAACACTGCTGTAAATGCATTACCATCTACAGGCTCGCTTTTTATACAAATGTATTCAATGACTCAGCACAGTATGAGGCAAACTGCTCTGCTTGGAAATACTTGGCAGCACTGATTGTTTATGAGAGCGCTAAAATGCAACACTTGGATTTGACAGTCGATCTCTTGCACTCCTTTCCGGCTCCAGCCTTCGTCAGATGTGCTTGAATAATAAATACATGGAGCTTGTTGATGCTGGTCTCAGGATAAGACTTCAATGGGCAACTTTCAAAGTGTTAAATGTAATTACTGTTGTCAGATGAGAGCCAATAGAAGTTCACTTCAGTGTGGATAATACTAGAACAGTGACATTTCAGAGAGACACGTATTAACTAAAGCCATCTTGTGCCAACCAGCTGCTTCGGTGCGGTCTCACTGATGTACTCACCCGTTGGACGTCCCCAGCGACAAAGAGCTGATGGAGGATGTCATTTTCCGGCTGTCCCAGACTCGAACTTCCCGTCCGCGCATCTATTGCATTAAAATTCAAGATACAGATTATCATTGAAGATGTGTTTTAACCACAGCTGACTGAAGTATACTGCCACAGTTACCATATCAAAGCCAGTGGTTAGCAGGAGATCCTCTTTTGTCCACAGAATCCTGGAGTCTTTGTTGTTCTGAAGACCCTTGGTACTCTGCAAAACATAAAGAGATGTCACACAATTGCGACTGCATTTTGCAACAATTGCGACAAAGCGACTGACTGTGGGGAGATCTCACATGTGCAGTTCTCACAAGGCAACCCAGGAATGTACAGGGACTGGAGGCTTTTTGCCAAGAAGAATGGACAGCTTTATCATCAGAGAGGATAAAGAACCTCATCTACAACTACAGTAAAAGACTCCAAGTTGTCAGAGATGTTAAGGGAGAAATTTAGGTAATTAATAACTGGAGGATAGAAACTTCTGATCAGGCAAATTTTTGTTGTTTAGTTGTGCCATTAAAACATGAACATAAATGTTAGTTTGACAATAAATTACTTGACAAAACCACAAAGAATGAAACAATTTTTGCATTATCATAATATCCAAATCACTGTCAACCCAAAAATACATTTCTTGGGTGTGTAAACTTTCAGGCCCAACTGCATGAAGTGGAGCATTTGTTTGAAAATATATGACATTATCAATATATACATGTCAACAAAGAAACATAACGGATGAAAAATAATGGGGTTTGGGAGACAGAAAATTAAACTACCCCCCTGTGTGTTTAAAGGATTTGGGACAAACTAGGGCTTGTCCCATGAAAGAAACACTTGTTATTGTTGGTGTAAGAGACAAGGTGACTTCTGCCCCTGGAGCAGCTTTAGTTACCACAACGATGACACTCAGCCGCCGTGTTTTTGTGTTCACTCAGCTAAGACACAGTCGCATTGTGTCCGGGGGGAATACGTGCTTGAACAGCACTTAGGACGGTTTTGAAAGGTGGTCTTCAAAGTGGAATGGCATGTGTCTAACTATGAGGGTGATGACGAGAGAGAATGTGAAGGCTTAAGTCAACATTTTACAACATAGACAAAGATTTTAAAAGTGAGTCATTGTTGCCAGGATATTTGTATTTGTACAGTAAACGCACATACACAATAATAAAGGTAAGCTCAAAGCCCTGCCAGTCAAGCATTTTTAAAACATAAACAAGGAAGGACAAGCATTTGTGTTATGCTTTTCCACCTGGGTTAAGCATGTTTGTACTAATGTTAGAATAATCTACTTGACTTTTATTAGTATGCTAGTAAAACAAAGCCAAAGCTTCAGTTACATCCATAGTGTGCCAGAAGTGTGTTGCTCAATTTTCTTGTTAAACTTACACATGACAAATTGCAGAGAACCCGATCTGCAATAAGGTGAATTCTTTATGTTCAAACTTTGTCTTCTTCATACGGGGCAATTCTTCAATTATTCCATTTCATTCTGACAAATGAGCAGATCCATTTATAACGCAACCCTCTATGACAGGGGTTTCAAACATCGGAGTTCATGGGTTTGCATTCATGGAGGTTAATATGGTACTGCATGTTATACAGCATTTTAAAGCTTATTTCTTCAGTAAAACAACTGTATAAATGGTATTACTCTGAATATTCCGTCAATAAAGCAAATAGATAAAGCAAAAATAGATAATTGAACTATCTGTCTACAATAACACTTTTGTTTCAATCTGAGCATACCTGGTAGAAAGATTCTTTGATCAAAATACCTCCACAATAAACAGTAGAAATGCAAAAGATGAACTTTAAACACAAGGTACCAAGGTCTCCATAGAAAAACTTTGGTACAACTGCATAATTTAGAAAAACGTTGACTCTTAATTTTATAATTTTGGCCCCCAGAGAAGAATGAGTTCTGCTGATCTGCTCTACGGTACAATTTTAATTATATTTATTAGATATATTTCATAGTATTTGATATATTTCATATGTTTTCTGATGAAGAGATTGAAAATTAATATGGCTACATGTTTTATTTATCCCCAACAAAGCACTGATTGAATTTATATGACGTCTCAAGTCAGATAAATAATTTAGATACGAGCTCCAGATAATTTTTCAGCAGCTGTTCTTATGTCATCCTTTGTTTGTCTTGTCCTTATAGGTAGGGTAGTTGAACAGAAGCCCATATCTACGGAAGATAAACTCAGACAATTGAAATGCAATCGATCAGAAAGATGCTATTATTAACTGAAACAGGCAGGAATAAGCTACTGTATCTTGCCCTTGCTGGGATGAGACAAAGCCAAGATGCCGCTGGGACCAAACTAGGAGCAAGGCAAACTTTATCGGCAGTAAACAATTTATACTGGTCAAGTAATGTACTGTATTGTATTCCAATGACGGGAGGAAAAAATGTGAATGAATCCTCATACTTTTCCATTCATCAAGTACTCCCAGCTAAATGCAGTGATAAGCGCTATTTCTTGGGATTAATAAACAAGCACTAAAATGCGTTCACCTTCCTGTGACCGAGCTGTTGAGTTGAGAGACTTATTTTTGCCATTACAGCATCCCTAAGGCCTTTGAAAGTGGAAGCCGGCCAGCTCCAAGAAAAACCCATTTTGATGTCTTTTGTGGCGCGCAGTTATGCACGCTCCACAGCTCACACCGCCATGATGTCACCGCCTGACCGGAACAGCGAGCACGTGAAGAAGCAATTGTAACGCAGCAGAAGAAGTCAAAAGTTACGCTGCTATTATCAATAAACACCTTCAAGTAAGATTTGCAATAACATCAAGAGGGCAGCCAGGGGACACAACATCTGGCCGTTTGTGTGTGTATATATATCTATATTACCATTTCCAAACTGTATCTCTCATCCACAGCCATAAATTCACCTCCCATTCACCTGGAACCCCCCCACCACTCACAACTGATCCCCACCGACATCACATAAATCAATCATGACACAGAAATGGAGGATCGGATTGGCTCAGACTTTTGCTCAGGCACCGAATAATCCATGGCAACGTCTTTATGACAATAATAAAACTGTTGTGACGTTACACTGTTACTGCCCAAACGTTTGAGAAAGGTTTGAAAAAGTATGTATAATAAAAAACATAGAAAAAGTACACTTTGAAGAGGAAACAGACGGTCAGAGACACAGAAAAAGTTCCATACACACTAAAATATAAACATAAGACATAAGAACAATCTACAGTATACTTCCAAATATTAAGATTCACTTTTAATAATAGACATGACCTTTCCCAAATGAGAACCAGTATAAAACTACATTTCAAAGACAGAGATAGAGGGCGGCCAGCAAGACGGTCGTGGGTTCAATTCCGCGTGGTGCGTGATTTCTGCAGTTGTTTCCTCCAGGTGCTCCAGTTTCCCCTTCCAATGGAAAACATGTACATAGCTTTGTGGACTGAACGTAGGGTTCTTTATGACTCTGTCTGTGAAAGGCGCTATATCAATAAAGATTACTTATTTGCTTGCTTATTTGAGGGCAGTGCATGCAGCCACTCTGCTCCCTAGCTCTGGAACCCACTCCCACCTGACCTCCGCAACACTGACTCCCTTCCCCTGCTCACATTTAGATTCAAACTCACCTGTTCAGAAGTTCCTACCGAACAGTCCACATCATAGTAGTTTGCATGCATGTTGCTTTGAATTTTTTCTAATTCTATTTTTTTAAAACCCTGTTTTTACAGTGTCCAAGGGTGTTATGAAAGGTGCTTATAAATAACATGAAGTATTATTATTATTATTATTATCATTAATATTATCAGCGTTAATAATAATAATAATAATAATAATAATAATAATAATAATAATAATAATAATATTATTATACCATATATTGCCAGTTGGCAAGAGAATATTATTTTTGTCTGGGAATATTATTTCTATGTTTTTGTGCATTCCTTTATAAACAATGAATTACTCTCCTACAGACAAAGAGCAGCCAGTCTCTTGAAATGTCCTAACATACGTAATACAGTATGTCCAATTTTTCATTTACCGGTAGTCACAAAAACTATGTGAAATAAAACAAGAAAAAAACAATAATTTGCCATGTCAGATGTTTTCATTAGTGTCATTTTTCTTTTCTTTGACTTTCACTTGTTTATTTATTCTGCACATTGATAAATCATTCGTAGCTCATCGTGTTTCTCAGACCTGTCTTGTACTTTCACAGTACCGTAAATATTGCCCACTGTACACACCTCTCCTCCCAAGCTATAAATCCTCCTCCCTTCACCGACGCCTCCCCCACTCCCCGAGCCACTCCAGCCTGAACTCCTATGACTTCACACAAATCAGTTCTGATACTAGAAAGCGGGCTGCCGTCGAACAGGACAGAAATGATTTGACAGAAGCAGTTGACAAATTGAGTGAGTGGCGCATGGTTCATCCATCCATCCATCCATTTTCTTCCCTTTAATCCATTTCTGGGTCAGGGGGGTGGCAGTCAGAGATGCCACCCAAGTCTCATAGCACCAGCCCCTCACTGACCCTCTGCAGGTGGTGAGTCCACAGGAGGACGGCTGCTCTCTGAGTGAGAGCATAGCCTTGATCTTTCAGTGGGAGCTTTGGGCAAAGTGGGGTTAAGTGTCTTGCCCAAGGACACAACGACAGCAGTCATCAGTGGGAGTCGGTGGAGAAGGTGCAGAGGTGGGAATTGAACCCACGACCTTCTGGCCTTAAGGCCAATGCTCTACCAACTGAGCTACTGTCGCCCCCATGGTTCAACCAAAAGATAATGAAGAGAATCACTCACACTTTCTGTAATGACATTGCACCTGAAAGAGCGCAACAGGTGTTGGCAGAGATTGTGGGAATGTTGTCCATAAATATAATAAGGTGTGGGTCAACTTAAATCCTGTAATAGCTTTTGAACATTTGCGTTACACCAACACACACATCAGACTGGCACTTGCTTATCACTCAGTCAGGACACACTCAGTTCACGTTAAATGTTACCTTAGTGTACGATTTTTTTTTTCTTACTTTTAACTTTTAAGTTTAACTAGAAACCGTTGCAATGGCTGAAGCCATTGCGATTGACTGCGGAACAGATCTAATGTGGAAATCTGCTAAAAAAAATCCTTGAAATCCTTTAAAAAGCCTTGAAACTGTTAAAATACTTGATAGATATTTGAAACTCCTGAAGTCCTTGAAATTGTTGAA